AAAGAAGAATCATAGCGAATTGTATTCAAACGACCCTTGAACGGATGTAATATATATATATAGGGGAGAACTTAAAACATCCATTCTGGCAAGGCGTTCAACATAGACCATGAAATGGGCGATATCAAAATGCTTGGTGTTAGAAAAATCCGACATAGTAAATTATCAGTATGTAACCAATTTTTATAAATTGAAATTCGATGAAACTGTAACATTTCGAAAGAGTAAGCGTCTTCTGCTTCGTCGACAACAGTTACCATGTAAATCTTGGTCAATCAAAGCAAGTTATGCTATTTCAAAATGTGAATAAGATTAAAGAAAAAAAACACCAACGAATTCCCCGGACAGAAGCTGTCTTTTTCAAAGAAAATATAATAGATTATGAAACGCACACTTGCCACTTAATACCAAGTCTCTTTTATTTACCTGATATGTATATATATGTTATTGATAAATATATTGTTATTACGTATATTTGGCCTTCTTTATCTCGGACTCGTAAAACCCGTTTAATTAGAAGCATTTCCGCGAGTCCTTGCCTAACTATACGCAAAAATTCGAACTCACTTTAATCGAATACTCGGTTATCTCGAAGTCTTCTCGTTATTTCAGTTGATCTGGATTTTCAAGAAGGGTGTCCTCAACGAAAACAACAAGAACGTACATACGTTATCCTAACTGAAATTCAGGAAAACTACCGAGATTCCTGATAAGATCTAGTAGTATAAGCTCACTCTTCCGGAACACCTGGCCAAAGTTTGCTTGTACTTTTTCATGAGTCTCCACGTATTTTCCATGTTTTTTGTTTGCTCATAGTTCATACTAGTTTTATTGAATTCGAGTTTTGATAATGATTGTGTTTATGTGTTGATATGCTTTCTTGTTTTTGTGAAGGATGATATTATCTTGGCCTTGTCAAACCTTTATCTATTCTAATCAATACTCTCAAACAATATCAAAAATCAATAATGTTTAAAATCAAGACAAATGCACCAGATAACGAACCCCTCGTCATGGAATCGACAACTATTGAAATGTCTTAATGCAAAGTTTCAGACAGTCTCTAAATGAAGGCAGTCAGGAACCACGTTTGCCTTTACATCAAGGATGTCGCAAAGACTTAAACAAATGTACACAGGTTTGTCAGTGACTTAATTTTGTGTAACTGTATTATTTCTATTCCAATCCATAAACGTTACACAAACATGGTTTTAGATTTGAAGAAAGCGTATTTGAAATGTTTCACGAGGTATGTTTATATTTTTTCAAAAACTAGATAAAAACATGAATATAATTATTTGTTTATAGAACTCTTTTCGTTGTCATTGACGCTCAGTTGCCGCCGTATACAACTTCCGGTGCAAGATTGCTGTTTATTTGTCATCCCCGCTGTTCCAAATATATGATAAATGGTATTTGTTTGGATGTTCATGAAACTTCAGTGATCATTAAATGCAAGGTGTTTTATTCGTGTCATACACGTCGGCACTGGTACATCTTTTTCATTTTTGATTCACGATATCTATAGTAGCTCTGTTATTGATGTCATACACATAGCTACAGGTGCATATCGGTAGAGTCAATTTTCTTGCATTTATGGAAAAAGAAAAAAAGATTTGCCATTGTGGAAAAACAAAAACAAAAATGACAGCCATTTGTATTTGTTAAGCATGCACAATGGCATTTGTCTGCAGATATATCAATGAAAATCTTGACACTAACATACATACATCAGTTAGTTCAAAGGTCAATAGAGAAAAGACAATGACGTTATATTGGGATCAAAATAATGAATACTACGTGAAGTTACTACACAGCAACACACTGTGCTATTCTTAGTGAAATATTCTGCTGTCAATAAGTTCTCATTATATACTCTCAAACTTGTCACATTTCGTGTGCATACTGGACACAAAAATGTTCAGGATCATAAATACATGTGATATTTTCTATGATTAATTTAAATTAAGTTTTTGGTAACGATTTGCCCGTGCAACCTACAAGAAACGTGCGGCAAGACATCATGTAACACAGGGTTAAAATCAAACTGTCAATTATGGTTTTATTGAAAGTCTGTGTGGACTTAACGTCACATCCATCAACAAAGTTTGTGTTTCTTCTTAATGTCCTGTCATTTTTGTATCCTGTTTTGAACATTTGCTAGTATGAGACGTCATGTGACATCTGCAAATGCTGGCTTTCAGGATGCTGCAAGCAGAATAATCACAACTAAGCGCAGCAGAACACTTCAATGTGTCACAGAGTGTGAGGACTAAACTTCACAACTCTGGTTTACACACACTCACCGTCCCGCTGCACGTCCTCGACTCACAAGCCGTTATCGTATAGCTCGGCAGCATTGGGCAGCTGACCATGTGAAAAGATGACTGCATCAGTGGCGACCTATTTTTGTTTACATATTAGTTCAGGTTTTGTGTGAAATTCCATGATGAAATGTTAATTTGTTTTGAGTGGGGAAGGTGATTGGGTCTGCTGATTGCTGCATCACTAAGCATGACGGTTCGGTGATGGCTCGGAAAGTGGCAGATATCAGTTTTGCTCGGACTGATTTTTACGCGATTGAAGGTGGTAGCCTCACAGGTTTACGATACCGGGATGAAATACTTCATCCAGCTGTAAGACCCTTTGCGGGTGCTATCCGTCCTGAGTTTGTACTGATGGGTCACATACAGTAAGACTTCTGAATGAGTACCTCCAAGCCGCAGCTATCAAGCGTATGGACTGACCTAGTTTTCCTCCGATCTTAACTCGATCGAGCATGCGTGGGACATTTTGCAGAAACGAATTACCGATAGTCCACGGCTTCTTGTGGACCATGTGTGTCTGCTGATGCTCTTCGTCAAGAATTTCACAATTCGGAGACTGATGCGCAGCATGCCAAGCCGATGTCGTGTCGTTACTGGGAACAATGCAGGACACACTCACTACTGATAGAGTCGTTTGTCCCACTGAAGCAATTTGAATTTTCAGCGCTTTTGGGACTTTTTAGAATGTTATGTAATCATACACGACACGCTTGAATGAAATTGATTCAAAGTGAGTCAAAATTGCTATCTTATTGTTTAACCTCACTCTTAGATTCCATATTCCAAAAGTTTTTGCATTTTGATACAAATGAATTAATCTTTTAAAAAGCAATCCCTGACTTTTTCTGCCCAGTACATATCGTATACTTTAACGTTTAATCTATCTATAGCATGTTATTCAGATAGAGAATACATTGTCAGTCTCTTTAAATATAAGCTGTATTTTGGCGAGGATGAAGAAAGACGAAAGTGGAGTTTTTCTGTTCTAAGTCTAAATGTATCTTATATATCAAGACACTGACCATGTATTCTGCTTCATCCTGCAAATAACAATGCCACTGTCGGAATATGCCTACCACATATATTTTTGCTGTATTCGGCAGTGACGGAAAACAGCTGTTAATTTCTGAATTTACATGAAAATTACGTTTAACAATATAAACAACATTTAAAATAAGTGATTTGATATATTGTACTGAACAAGTTTATTTACAAAAAATCATAAAATCGCTGTCATATCCGTTGAAGTTTAGAAGTACATTTCTGCGCCGAACAATTATTTTGGCATACGTCGTCTGGCAGAATTCAGTATAATGTCGACTTCGGGTAAACAAAGACTGAACAAAACAACTGTCGAAGTTACAGTCAATGTTCCAGGATATATAGAATAAATAGTCAGTGTCTTAAATTATATAAACTGCATTTTGGCTCGGGTCAGAAAGACAAAAATGGCTCGCAACTTTTGTCTTTCCTCACCCACGCCATAATGCAGGATGATGATGCTACGCGGGCCTAGTCAGTAAAACAGATAAGTATTACATACCTACTGATGTTGGTTTTTAGAAGAACATATCCAACTATGTCGAACATGATAATGCAACATAGTCATACAATCTACAACAGCGACTAAATATTCTTCTGTGCAGATTATCTCCATCATGTTCCAGTATCAAGGATAGCTACAAAATTTGCGTGCTAACATCACTATACTGTTTACTGTTTAAGGAAGAGGAAACCAATGCATGAATCTATTTCAGATTCTGGAAAAAAGTATCATTTTCTCGGCTACTTAACATGATATATACACAATGCACATGCATGTTACATCATAAAAAACTATTACGTTAGCACATTGAGTCCATCACTTGAACTGCTTTAGAGGGAAATGTGAAACGTTTCAGTAATGATACACTACTATGCATTGATTAAATAGTTTTTTTTCTGTATCTCGGTGTGAAATCTGACAAACGACTTATGCTTCATTTTTAAGCATTCTTGTAGTGACGGCAAGGTTTAGCATATGCAGATGTGTTTGACGGTCTTTTTAAAATGTCCATTATTGAAAATGTAACATTCATTAATTTTTGGTGGTTAATTGGCCACCTCACATTTGCTTCATGGTTTTTCTCCTTCGCTTGCCATGGTTTCTATGATTTAGGCTGTTGATGTCGCTGGAGGGTCCATGGGGAAATGGTTATGCTTGTATTATGATACCTTATGGTTTGCTTGTCTTTGAGCAGTCTTGAAAACTGCGCTTAGGGCCTTAAATGTTTGGGCATTTCACAACAAACAAACACCATGTTTGTGACTGTTTAACTATTAATTGGATAGTAAGTTAAAGTTTTTAAGTAACACATATGCATAGTTTATTATGTGTTTAACAAACCAGATGGTATCATTTTATGTGAAATATTATTGCTATCAAACAAAAAGTTATTTTATAATTAAACATTGCTTTTCATTCCAGGATTTATGACTTTCATTTCTGCTGCGGCCAGTTGGCATCGAGGATACCAAATAGAACTGGCTAACATTTGAAATAGGATGGAAGGGGCTTTGTTTACCGGAAGCACAATGGATTCTTTCATCCAACATTCTGATGCACACGTTACGTCACTTCCAGACTCTGCAAATGGCAGTTTACAAACTGAACCTACGACATCGGCGTCACTGCGCATGACAAGATTTATCGCTCAGAACATATTAGCTCCAGTATTGGTTACATCCGGTGTCATCGGAAATATATTCAACATAGTCGTTCTAAAGAGTCCAAAGATGAAAAGCTCAACAAACGTTTATCTCATGGCACTAGCAATCTGTGATTCAATGTATCTCATATTCATGTTTCTATTGTCTTTTTTTAACTGTGAAAACAAAAATCAGTTGAAATTTATCTTCTACACTGTTCCGTTTGGACGCGTGTTTTCCGATCTTTTTGGTAATACGGCCGTATGGCTGACAGTTGCGTTTACCCTGGAGAGGTATATAGGTGTATGCCATCCGATGAAAGGGAAAGCCTGGTGTACTATTGGAAAAGCAAAGTTGGCTGTTATTTTCGTATTTATCATTTCACTTGTCAATACATTTCCGGAGTTCTTTGAGCTTGAAATCGTGGAATATGGTGATATTGGAAATGAAAAGTCTACTGTATTGAAATGTCAAACTACGAGATTTGGGAGTACTTCTAGCTACCAAATCGGATATTTTTGGTGGTATGTGGCGTTTTTCAATTTCCTTCCTCTGATTTTGCTAGCAGTATTTAACAGTATATTGATATTGTCTGTTTGGAAGGCTAATAAAACTAGACGTACATTATCGAATTCAACCGTCATCGGTGAAACAACAAGGCAAGCAACAGAACAACAAAAAGTGACTACTATGCTGATTTCGGTAGTGATTATCTTTCTGCTGTGCCAGCTCCCGTGGGCAATACTTTTGCTGTACAAAGCATATATATCGGCCAATGATATCCACTCGCATGGCGACAGCTTAAGAATAGCTGGCAATGTGTGTAATTTGTTAGTGGAATTCAATTCTTCTGTTAACTTTTTACTGTATTCATATTTCAGTAGTCGATTTCGACGTACTTTTCAGAGTATTTTTTGCAAATGGAGACGGGAAAGGGACCGGCGGAGATCTCTCTCCAGTTCCTCTGATACCTTTCGGAAATCCTCATCCTCCAAAGACAGCACGACAGTCACTTCTGTGTCTTCTTATAGATCTAAAAGGATGTTATCTGACGTCTCAGTAAGAGAAAATCTTATTAGTCAGAAATTGTAATTAACACAACATTTAATACATGTATTGAAATTTTGTGTCAATATTGATGCATATGTATTCTGTGAATGTTTGTTTAACTGCTTTAAGTTAAATATTGTTTCAGTAGCTCTATGTAAAATACATTGAAACAGAGGAAGTTATTCTCAAAAGAAAATAGCTTTTTCACTAACTATCATGTTTTTTTTTATTCACAATTATGACTGCAATTCATCCGAATCAAAGGCGAAATTTAATCAGAAATAACATGGATGCCGGCAATACTTAGACTGTTGGACAGTTTATAGGAATGTATTTAGAATCAGAATTTAACACAACTTCTGAATGAAAAATATAGATATGAATATCGTATGTCCAACTTATATATATATACCCGTTAATTAGTTCCAACTTTGATGGATTTGATGAATAGCTTAAGAATATAAACAATTATTAATTAATAATCCATCCTTTTTTTCTTCTATTTTTTATTTTTATAAGGTACTTTTCTTTCCTGTGTTCTACCATCCCCGGAGATTTTAAAACAGATTTTTCATCAAGTATATAACTTTCATATTACCGCAATCGCAGAATGCTCCATTGAAGAACGTTGAATCCAATAATAAATATTGACAGATACAAGTGCGCATGCCTGTACCGATTATAGTGTTGTCACAATGAATATCTGGATGTTAGTTAGATACGTCATAGTAAACAGCAACTACGCTTTCTTAACGAATTAAGATGATAAATGCTGATCCAGTGGAAAGTAATGCTTTATAAAAAAAATACAGAAAAAATGTGTAGCGCGCTTTTTTATATATTTATGTACAAGAGAACACAAAACGAACAGGCATGATCAGATGTAGATAAAAGTGCACAGCTTGTGGACTATAGTCATGACATCACGGTAAAGAAACCGATGTAGTGTTTCTTTAAAAACGTATATTACGATCATGTTCTGAATAAATATTTTGCCCTTAAATATGTTGTTGATTGTGTATTTGTTATTGTACTACGTCTATTGTTTTTCTTTTCCTTAAGTATCATCGCATTGTATTTTGTGTTTAATGTTACATTACCTAGATAATTATATCCTACCAACACCTATGGTCATTCAAGGAATATCCCTTATGTATGCAAGTACATGTGTTCGAACTAAAGCTTACTTTATAGTGATGACCTCTGGTTAGGTTACATGTATTTAATCAAATGTTTTATATCCTACCAACACCTATGGTCATTCAAGGAATATCCCTTATGTATGCAAGTACATGTGTTCGAACTGAAGCTTACTTTATAGTGATGACCTCTGGTTAGGTTACATGTATTTAATCAAATGTTGGTCATTCATATCAAGTACATGTGTTCGACAAAGCTTACTTTATAGTGATGACCTCTGGTTAGGTTACATGTATTTAATCAAATGTTTTATATCCTACAAATAGCTATGGTCATTCAAGGAATACTCCTTTGTACGCATGAGGAGTGCGTGTGTTTGAACTGAAGCTTACTTTATGGTGCTACTACACCTAAGTGGCCGGTCGTTACTCTGTCATAATACTGGACGTTCAGCAGGGATATTAAACCACTACTTCATAGACTCTAAACAGAACAGAATCTAAAGCGTTCCCTATACGAGCGAACGCTCCACTATAGACCACAAGTAAGGCGTAGTCAAGGAAGACATTAGAAAAAAACAATTGTTGAGAAAGAAATGATTACATCCCAAATTTAGTCGATCATGCAATGACTGTCACATTAAGAGATTCGAGCATGTTATATTTACGACAAAAAGACGATAATGTTTACATGCCAACCATCTACATAAATCACCAAGATCACGTGCAAGAAAGGTAAAATCGAAACAAAACACGGTAAAACTGTTATTTTGGGAACAAAGATGAATACAATCATGTCTTGCTTTGCTTTTTAAGTTTGACGTATGCATATTCATTTTACACGACGACAAAATATTTTCTGATGGAAGCTTAAATCGTCCTATTGATATTTCTGATATATTTTGATGCATTAAACGATCGACTCTTTATAGTGTTTAAAGTCCATGGTGTTTATTGTCTCATAACCAACAACCAAGGGAAAGTTAATGCGACTCTTGACCTTTTAAAGCGACCCTATCTACTAAACATAATCATAAACCACTTAACGCGACCCTAACCTTAAACTCTAAACTCGACACTCAACTTAAACTCCAAACTCGACACTTAACTGAAATTATAGATTCGACCCTAAACTTAAACTTAATCCCGACTTTAAACTGAACACTGAACTCGACAATCAACTTCTACACATCAATCTTGGTCTGATTAATATTACTAGTTGAGAATTTTCTTTTACCAAGTTTCCGCAATATAATAACTGTCCCAGACAAACTTCTCTTCCAGATGAAGAAATTACTAAGATGTCCTATCCTCAAGCTCTCTTTTTTCTAACGTTATGTCAATTAATGACTGGTTTAACAATCGTAACCTTAGAATCTTTGATTGGAGCCATAGAAGATTATTTTCAGGAACGTCTTGTTTCACAATGTCACAATACTGTGTCATGCAAGGAATCCTCTGCTTATATTTGAGACCTGCTTATCTGAGAGATTTTATAGTATGTCCAACGAATGATTTCCTCATCCTTACGCGAAGAATAGGACAACAGTCCCTCTCAGATTTTTACGACTTTGCAAACACATTTGAAATTCTCTTCCCGTGCATGATAGATGTTTAAACCAGCTTGGACCACGATATGTTACGTAAATGTAATAACACATTTGATAGTTGTTAATGTATTAATCTCTTCCCAGTCACGATAGACGTTTAAACCTGAATGGACCTAGGTATGTTACGTAAGCATACTAACACATTTGATAGTTGTAAATATATATGCCACTTCCCAGTCATGATAGAAGTAAACCTGCTTGGACCTAGGTATGTTACGTTAACATACCAACACATTTGAAAGATGTAAATATATTAGTCTCTTTCTGGTCATTATAGAAGTTTAAACCTGCCTGGACCAAGGTATGTTACGTTAACGTACTGACACAAAGAGTAGGTTTAGTCTATAAAAGGGTGGTGGATTATATCTACTGTATTGCATACACAGCTGAGGAGAAACTAAGTTATTTTTGCTAAATTTTATGACTAAATTTTCCAATAGCTTTCACTTCAACATCGGAAAATGTGAAGAGGGACGCATTGTAACCTGTGAAAAACAGAAATATAAAGAAAAAGATTATATTACATTTCATTTAATATTAAAAGAGTTTCTTGCAACTTAACTACATATAGTTGTTACCGTGCTGTCTTGTCAAACGTAACGTCAGACTATCTGATGTAAAGTAAGATACTGGATTATTTTATGTTTGAATCGATTGTTTTCCCGTTTTGTTTCCCTTTTAAATCTTATAAAAAGAAATTTGTACCCTTGAAAGATGTTCTGTCACATTATTTAAGTATATATAAACATAAATGATATCTGTTAATCTGATCTGACCTATCTTTTCTGAAGGAAAACCGATCATAATATTACATGTTTAAACCATATACATATACACGAAATCAACTTTTATCAAAATACATCTATCTATTGACTTCTGCTGGGAGTTGTCTGCTCCTACTACCGTTTCAGTCGTCCTCCACATCGGGTACACCTGCACTAAAACACGATTATAAAATCTGTTTGCACAAGAACAAAGAAACATTAGTGAATGATGAAACACGCACAATTTCTAATTATATATTAATTATCATATTTATTCAATATTTCCAATTTTAAAATACAAGTTATCATTATATGATTAGAACATACTTTAACAGTAAGACATTTGTAACAAGCAAACTTATACTTGTATAACATATCAGATATATATGTATCATGTACATATTACTCAATTTTGTAAATATAATTATATATACATGGCTACTGAAGGTACACATTTTCCGTTTATGGTTTACATAGATAGCCCAATGTTTATAGATTTTAACACAAACAAAACATTAGTGTGATTAATCAGGAGTGAAAAATCGAGAACATTACGATTGATATTCTTCAGTAATTTAAGAAAAAAAGATAATTTAGTTTTTTTTTTCGCCTCTGCTGTGATATCTAATACACATTATAATTATCGTGATGAGTGCATTTAAGCATGAGATTCAGACCACTTTTCCTCGATCAAGTACAATTTCGAAACACAGCCTGTGGGAATAATCAAGGTCTTGTAGACATTATGTCTGTTCATTTGTTGTAGTAAGAAGTCTTGGACGGGATGCAAACCAAATCGTTAAATTATGTCATAGCAAAAATATACATCGTAAATAGTAATTTGTAAAAATAACAATGAAATAATTTATAAAAATAATTTTAATAGAATAAGTTCGATCCCTAATACCATTATAATATTAATCAAAATAAATAATTAATGACATAGAAACGAACCTTTTCCCTCAAAAGTATCAGTTAAGATTTATGTGAAATAATAGGCCAAGAACTCTGTTAGGTTTCACATATTTATAAACATGGATAGTATATCATGAAAAAGGAGAATTATGTATGTCAAAATTCCTAACTTCATGTGCTAGAAAAATACACGTGTTCGAAGTACATATGTTATCATATTAATTGGCGTTTATTTTCAAATTACAGTCAAACACTAGTATGTTCTACTTCGTTGATACTATATAAAACACAACAGAAAATACCAACATGTCAAAATATTTGTAATCCAAACTCAAATTCAAAATATTTATTAGGAGACTCCTGAATAAGTACAAAGAGAGTAAGACCAGGTGCGTCATCAACGACACCCGCTATGTAAATCTTGGCCATTCCACGTAAGTAATGTCACGTTCTAAAATGAGAACAAGGGGAACAACAAACGATAAGTAAACTAACGAACATACTAAAAAAGCATCAAACAATTTAGAGCGGATTCCGAGTAAGCCTAACACAGGTGTCAGAGACGTTTACCTTACTGAACATCTTTCAACTTAAAGTTTGCTCGTGCGAATATCGTATAAAAACACAAGAAGCGAATAGCACCTTTTAATACGAAATTAGAATTAGATATCGTGGAACCAAACATTGAATTGAAATGCATTAGATACCTGTTTCATTCTTCTAGGCCTCGCCAGTGTTGCTAAGGGTTTCAATTAAAAATCTTACAAGTTAATAAAATACGAAAGCATTATCAAAATCTGAATTTGGGACATCTATGAGACCAGATTATGATGCCGATGTCACTATGAGTATGACTCAACAAGACACTACAGTGTCATAACGGATCGGCTCTTACATGTTTATGTTAGAGGCATACCCTTATATGGAAACAAATAACAATATTTTTGTTCTCTAGTACCATAACCATCAATATGACATTTATATCATATTTGATCACTCAGAGTTCGTTAATATTACATTGGTTATACTAAAGGAAGCAAATCTGTGAACAGAATCACTATTAAAACTTCAATTCCATAAAACTAGGGCAAAATATGAACAAAGGGTTGATTTACACAGACACTCGTGAAAAAGGACCAAGGAGAATAGAAACATGTGTTCCGGAAGAAAAGAACTACGAAAAAGTATGTGTTTTGTATAGACTATCAAACCATGCTTTAGACATATCATGTAAGGGCAGCAACCGTTATATATATGGTGTAATCTGATTAATGTCTCGATAAAAATAGGTTATCGACCTACATGGTATGTTATCTCTAAGTATTTGTTCAACACGCTCGACTCATTGGGTCTTGGCAATAACACTACCAAACGTCTTTCTGTATGATCTTCTTAATAACATGCCTAGATTAGATTCTTGATATTTAATAAAATCTAATCTTAAAAGATTAAATTTGATTAGATAAGTGAACGGCAGTTAAAGTACAATATAAAAAAGTATATGATATCATCATTGATCTTTCATCAATCATTCAACGTCATAAATTCGATGAAAGACGTCAAAAACATCTACTTTTATACATCTTAGAGGTATTTCTCTTGAGTATATCTCTTGAAATTTGGATTTCAACATTAGTTTCAACAAATTATTTGTGCTTCCTGCCAGATTGAATACCTTTCGTTAATTCTCAAAACATGACAAAAAACGTTTCTTTTGTTTGTTTATCAAAGATATAAATTCCTAGAGAAATTTGAAAAATAAGATATAACATTAAAAATAAAAATACATCAACTATTATGTACCCTTGTATCGTATACCCGGCTACTTTCGCGGTGCAATGAAGTGATCGCGAGAATTGAGCACGTGAAATGATGGGACATGTGTATATAAGATGTCCGTTTACATCCATAGCTCGAAATTTTGATTCGTTGAAATATAATTAAGAGTTTTGATCCTTTTAACGAAATTCGCGAAAATTACCAGCTGTACGGCATTTCTCTTTCCAATCAAGTCTTTATAGATCTTAAGGTTCACAATATTGTCAAATATAGGATTTCAGCTTAATTTCCGTTTAAGAATGATACATAATTTACCGTAAAAGTAATATAAAAATGTAATAATATTTAGTAATATTAAGATAATAGGTATTAATATGATAAAAAATTATTTATATGAAATAAGTCAACAGTACAAATTATGTTATGATTTATCGGACCTAACTTATTCAAGAATGCTATTTTACAGTATACATGTAAGTATATTTCATTTTGTTTTGAAAGATGGCACCCCGTTCCTTATATTATGATAATCAAAATAATGTACACCGCTGTTTGGCACTCTTTAACTGATTGCCCCTTTGTTACATTCCTCCGCGATGCAATAGCATATTCAGGAAAAGTGGTCACCTTATTAATATGTATTCACCACATTGCATGCTACTAGTAGAAAAATTATAATAACAAAACTGATCCTTGTCAATATCAAATATCATCACAGGTTCATTGACAACTTCTCCACCTGGTCGGCGCTGTTTCGTTGTTTATCGGCCATGAAATAGTTTCGTGGAATGCACATCATTGCTCCGTCTTCACCTACGTAACAAATTAAAATAAAAGATTAAATATCGACTTTAAAAAAATGTACAAAAAATTCGTTTAAAACTACAACAAGATGTACCTGAAATTTTCCTAGTTGTTCTTGCTTTAAACAGCTTATGATAACTGCTTTCTATTACCACTTTTATGGCACATGATATAATCCTCTTTCAATCATGAACTCGGAACACTTCAGATATACCAAAACAACACAGTGAAGTTATGCGGTACTTTATACAAAACCAAATGAACATAGTGGGATACTGATATTACTACATAGTGATTATACAGGAACTTGTCATTGACCATCTATACTACACTGAGTATATTAACTATTCTATCAATAATTTTCCCATCTTAAATACATTGTCACTTTATGTATGTATTAATTTGTTTATTTTTCCTTTTTTTGTCGTGTTTATAAAGACTTTTTTCTGTTCGTGTCCTCGCAGTATATAAACATTATGGAAATCTATTGATTCGAGATCTCTCCGTCGATAATTAATTAACACCAATGTCAGATTTGATCAGGTGAGTAGAAGGATGATTTGGTAGCGATTTGGAGCTGTTCCTGCTCTGAATTTCCAAAAATAACATTTTTCTGCAATGAACGTTTTTATTGAAGTTCGTAAAAGTGAGATAGGTAGATATTCTAAGCAGTTTAGAGGTTTTTGCTTTCGATTTAATGTGACACAGACAGACTGTTCTGCGAAAAACAGAATCCGTTTCAACAGCAAGTATCTGCAGCAACAATAATAAGAAACATTACCTTAGTTATGATACATCAATGTTAATACTTAGTTATAATACATCAATGTTTACACTTAGTTATGATACATCAATGTTTATACTTAGTTATAATACATCAATGTTTATACTTAGTTATAAAACATCAATTTTTATACTTAGTTATAATACATCAATGTTTATACTTAGTTATAATACATCAATGTTTATACTTAGTTATAATACATCAATATTTATACTTTAGTTATAATACATCAATGTTTATACTTAGTTATAATACATCAATGTTTATACTTAGCTATAATACATCAATGTTTATAATTAGTTATGATACATCAATGTTTATACTTAATTATAATACATCACTGTTTATACTTAGTTATGACACATCAATGTTAATACTTAGTTATGATACATCAATGTTTATACCTTCGTTATGCTTAGTTATGACACATCAATGTTTATACTTACCTATGACACACCAATGTATATACTTAGTTATAATACATCAATGTTTATACTTAGTTATGATACATCAGTGTTTATACTTATGATACATCAACGTTTATACTTAGTTATAATACATCAATGTTTATACTTAGTTATGATACATCAGTGTTTATACTTATGATACATCAACGTTTATACTTAGTTATAATACATCAGTATTTATACTTAGTTATAATACATCAATGTTTATACTTAGCTATAATACATCTATGTTTATACTTAGTTATAATACATCAATGTTTATACTTAGTTATAATACATCTATGTTTATACTTAGTTATGATACATCAATGTTTATATTTAGTTATAATACATCAAGGTTTATACTTAGTTATGATACATCAATGTTTATACTTAGTTATAATACATCTATGTTTATACTTAGTTATGATACATCAATGTTTATATTTAGTTATAATACATCAAGGTTTATACTTAGTTATGATACATCAATGTTTATACTTAGTTATAATACATCAATGTTTATACTTAGTTATAATACATCAATGTTTATACTTAGTTATGATACATCAATGTTTATACTTAGTTATAATACACCAATATTTATACTTTAGTTATGATACATTAATGTTTACACTTAGTTATAATACATCAATGTTTATACTTAATTATAATACATCAATGTTTACATTTAGTTATAATACATCAATGTTTATACTTAGTTATGATACATCAATGTTTATACTGAATTATAATACATCAATGTTTATACTTAGTTATGATACATCAGTGTTTATACTTATGATACATCAACGTTTATACTTAGTTATGATACATCAATGTTTACACCTTAGTTATGATACATCAATGTTTATACCTTAGTTATGATACATCAATGTTTATACTTAGTTATGATACATCAATGTTTATACTTAGTTATGACACATCAATGTTTACATTTAGTTATAATACATCAATGTTTATACTTAGTTATGATACATCAATGTTTATGCTTAGTTATGACACATCAATGTTTACATTTAGTTATAATACATCAATGTTTATACTTAGTTATGATACATCAATGTTTATACTTAGTTATGATACATCAATGTTTATACTTAGTTATGATACATCAATGTTTATACTTAGTTATGATACATCAATGTTTATACTTAGTTATGACACATCAATGTTTACATTTAGTTATAATACATCAATGTTTATACTTAGTTATGATACATCAATGTTTATACTTAGTTATGATACATCAATGTTTATACTTAGTTATAATACATCAATGTTTATACTTAGTTATGATACATCAGTGTTTATACTTATGATACATCAACGTTTATACTTAGTTATGATACATCAATGTTTATACTTAGTTATGATACATCAATGTTTATACTTAGTTATAATACATCAATGTTTATACTTAGTTATGACACATCAATGTTTACATTTAGTTATAATACATCAATGTTTATACTTAGTTATGATACATCAACGTTTATACTTAGTTATGATACATCAATGTTTATACTTAGTTATGATACATCAATGTTTATACTTAGTTATAATACATCAATGTTTATACTTAGTTATGATACATAAATGTTTATACTTAGTTATGACACATCAATGTTTACATTTAGTTATAATACATCAATGTTTATACTTAGTTATGATACATCAATGTTTATACTTAGTTATGACATATCAATGTTTATACTTAGTTATCATACATCAATGTTTATACTTAGTTATGATACATCAATGTTTATACTTAGTTATGATACATCAATGTTTATACTTAGTTATGACACATCAATGTTTACATTTAGTTATAATACATCAATGTTTACATTTAGTTATGATACATCAATGTTTATACTTAGTTATGATACATCAATGTTTATACTTAGTTATGATACATCAATGTTTATACTTAGTTATGACACATCAATGTTTACATTAAGTTATGATACATCAATGTTTACATTTAGTTATGATACATCAATGTTTATACTTAGTTATGATACATCAATGTTTATACTTAGTTATGATACATCAATGTTTATACTTAGTTATGATACATCAATGTTTATACTTTGTTATGATACATCAATGTTTATACTTAGTTATGATACATCAATGTTTATACTTAGTTATGATACATCAATGTTTATACTTAGTTATGATACATCAATGTTTATACTTAGTTATGATACATCAATGTTTATACTTAGTTATGATACATCAATGTTTATACTTAGTTATGATACATCAATGTTTATACTTAGTTATGACACATCAATGTTTACATTTAGTTATAATACATCAATGTTTACATTTAGTTATGATACATCAATGTTTATACTTAGTTATGATACATCAATGTTTATACTTAGTTATGATACATCAATGTTTATACTTAGTTATGATACATCAATGTTTATACTTAGTTATGATACATCAATGTTTATACTTAGTTATGATACATCAATGTTTATACTTAGTTATGATACATAAATGTTTATACTTAGTTATGATACATCAATGTTTATACTTAGTTATGATACATCAATGTTTATACTTAGTTATGATACATCAATGTTTATACTTAGTTATGACACATCAATGTTTACATTTAGTTATCATACATCAATGTTTACATTTAGTTATGATACATCAATGTTTATACTTAGTTATGATACATCAATGTTTATACTTAGTTATGATACATCAATGTTTATACTTAGTTATGATACATCAATGTTTATACTTAGTTATAATACATCAATGTTTATACTTAGTTATAATACATCAATGTTTATACTTAGTTATGATACATCAATGTTTATACTTTAGTTATAATACATCAATGTTTATACTTAGTTATGATACAACAATGTTTATACTTAGTTATGATACATCAATGTTTACACTTAGTTATAATACATTAATGTTTATACTTAGTTATGATACATCAATGTATATACTTAGTTATGATACATCAATGTATATACTTAGTTATAATACATCAATGTTTATACTTAGTTATGATACATCAATGTTTATACTTAGTTATAATACATCAATGTTTATACATAGTTATAATACATCAATGTTAATACTTAGTTATGACACATCAATGTTTACATTTAGTTATAATACATCAATGTTTATACTTAGTTATGATACATCAATGTTTATACTTAGTTATGATACATCAATGTTTATACTTAGTTATGATACATCAATGTTTATACTTAGTTATGATACATCAATGTTTATACTTAGTTATGATACATCAATGTTTATACTTAGTTATGATACATCAATGTTTATACTTAGTTATGACACATCAATGTTTACATTTAGTTATAATACATCAATGTTTACATTTAGTTATAATACATCAATGTTTACATTTAGTTATGACACATCAATGTTTATACTTAGTTATAATACATCAATGTTTACATTTAGTTATGATACATCAATGTTTATACTTAGTTATGATACATCAATGTTTATACTTAGTTATGATACATCAATGTTTATACTTAGTTATGATACATCAATGTTTATACTTAGTTATGATACATCAATGTTTATACTTAGTTATGATACATCAATGTTTATACTTAGTTATGATACATCAATGTTTATACTTAGTTATGATACATCAATGTTTATCCTTAGTTATGACACATCAATGTTTACATTTAGTTATAATACATAAATGTTTACATTTAGTTATGATACATCAATGTTTATACTTAGTTATGATACATCAATGTTTATACTTAGTTATGATACATCAATGTTTATACTTAGTTATGATACATCAATGTTTATACTTAGTTATAATACATCAATGTTTATACTTAGTTATAATACATCAATGTTTATACTTAGTTATGATACATCAATGTTTATACTTTAGTTATAATACATCAATGTTTATACTTAGTTATGATACAACAATGTTTATACTTAGTTATGATACATCAATGTTTACACTGAGTTATATTACATCAATGTTTATACTTAGTTATGATACATCAATGTTTATACTTAGTTATGATACATCAATGTTAATACTTAGTTATGATACAACAATGTTTATACTTAGTTATAATACATCAATGTATATACTTAGTTATAATACATCAATGTTTATACTTAGTTATGATACATCAATGTTTATACTTAGTTATAATACATCAATGTTTATACTTAGTTATAATACATCAATGTTAATACTTAGTTATGATACATCAATGTTTATACTTAGTTATAATACATCAATGTTTATACTTAGTTATAATACATCAATGTTAATACTTAGTTATGATACATCAATGTTTATACTTAGTTATAATACATCAATGTTTATACTTAGTTATAATACAACAATGTTTATACTTAGTTATGATACATCAATGTTTATACTTAGTTATAATACATCAATGTTTATACTTAGTTATGATACATCAATGTATATACTTAGTTATGATACATCAATGTTTATACTTAGTTATGATACATCAATGTTTATACTTAGTTATGATACAACAATGTTTACATTGGATTAGTTATCGATGTCCAATGGTCAATTTGTGAATTACAGGTTCAAGAGTCTCACCGAACCAATAAATCTGCTGGATGACGTCATGAAATATATATCTGGAAGTCCCTGCGTATTGAACAATTAGTATACTTACTTAGTTTCTCGAGTGCTTTGTCCATTGGCATCATTCCCTTATAAGGATTGAAGAGGAATTTGTATATCAGGGCGGACAGGGATCCACCAATCAGAGGCCCTATCCAGTAGACCTGTTTAACACGTGACTTACTTATATAACAACCACTGGAAGCCCTGAACAACTAACAAACATTTATTCAGTATTACCATAATGTATTACTAATTTTTACTTTGTGTATTGCAGCCGATTTTACAAAAACTTCTTAACCAGAATACATCTAATAGTGATAGGCATCTTTTGTTGAAGGTTGGTAATAAGCGAGTTTTTCCGGCTAGAAATAATATCAAAATATCATTTGTGAATACATCCTTACATTTTCCACAATAAACAATATACACGTTGATCTTTTATGAAGTATCAACAAAGCTTACCCATTGGTTTGTGAAATTATTTGAAGCGACGGCGATCCCGAAGGAACGAGATGGATTCATACTTGCTCCTGTGAAGTGAATCTGAAACAGGAGGTGGATTTCAAAATTGAACAAACATGCTTGATGAGGTTTTAGAAATATAGACTTTCTGCGTTTCACAGGTATAGGCCTACTTGTTATTTCAAATACTTTTATTTCCTATGTGTATTCTGCATAATATGATAATTATCTAATAATAATTTGATATAGTAATGAAATTGTTGTTTACACTACGGTAAACGTCAAGTCTGATATCTTTTTCCCGCCAAAAAGAATTAGCTGTTCACTCTGGGTGAATAACGCCTAATGAATCTTTTATGTATTTTTCGAAGATTCGGCATTGTGAACCACAAATATTTACTTAAAACATATGCGACATATTGTTCATCTGATTCCGTTTAAGAAGAGAATACGTTGAAACGATTGTTACATTTATGTTATGACAGAACAATCTATTATATTTCAATAAAATCGTCTTTCTCGCGCTGTTCATATCTCTATCGAAATTTGAAAGGGGAAGAGAATGCGAAACAGATGGCTGACACCAACAGTTCGGATAAAAAAAAAAAAAAAACAGACAAAGGAAGAACAAAAAACAAACAAACAAAATTATAACAATACCAACACGTCAACACAATCATAATCCGAAGTAAAATTCAATAAAACAAGCGCAAATTATGAACAAAAAAATTACACGGAGTACAAGGAGAATGAGACCAGGTATTCCGAAAGAGTAAGCGTCTTCTGCTTAATTGAGGACATCCGCCTTGTAAACCTTGGTCAATCCAAGTAAGTGAGAACAAGGTATACAACAACGGAACCAACAGCCAAACTAACAAACATAAAACACGTCCAACTCCATATTGCAAAAAAAAAAAAAAATAATAATGAAATATTTCTCAATAAGATCACTATGACGACCGTAAAGCTTCCCCATAACTTTCCATCAACTTGCATCTTTTGAAATTCTGTGTTACGAATTTGGAAAGCAAAATTTACACCGACTCTCCAGGAATACTTACCCCTGTAAGATGAAGAGTTGCCACAGTAAGGCCTATCTTGACCGACACACTACCGAAGTCGGCACGATTTGAATCTGTGGTGGCGATAATTGTGTAGACAAGAGCAAATGTAAGTATTATTTCTATTCCAACACCTTGACCAGCGGTGATCTCGTTGTCCAGCTCAGTCAGGCCAAGATTATTATGCACAGAACCGGGTGATACGCTGTAAGACGATGATAACATTGTAAATATTTCTGTGCGAGTATCTTCCCTTACCACAACACGTCGAACTGTTTAGTTGGTGCGCCATTCGACTCGGTAACGTTATTCTTAAAATAGCTGGGCATAAATTCTAAACACGATTATTTCTAATGTTGAATGGCTTTATAAACACATATCTTATTTCAAAATTTCAAAAAATATTTTCGAATTTCAATTTGATGGATAGTTTCAAATCGTCAAAAAAAAAATTGTAATTGTACACAATAATACATGGTTCTCGGTGTAAAAATGCCCCATTGCTCAGTGGGAAAAAGCTAAAATTGACAAAAAACAGAAAATAAGATGAAATGAAAACCGTGTAGATAAATCCTTCTATTTAGATATACAAATTCATTATCGTTTATATTCTTCGGTAAGTGCTCTGCCTGGACGACACAGTTAAAGGGACGACAATCAATTTTATAACTTTTTACATCTCATCTTGTGACGTCGCCCGGGGGAACATTTTTAAACTATTTAACCCCGATGTTGAAATTTCAAAATATTTCGTTTCTGCACTCATTTATTTTTGTAATGAATTCTACCTGCCATATCAAGGGAAAAATCACTTGCATTATACAACTGTTTTGTCATGGAAATCATAAACGTAATTAAAAACATGTAGTTAAGGCTTTGAATATGAAAAATGTATATAAATCCATTTCAGTTAAATGTCATTTTCTAAATACCCTATCAATGGTTCCAGCCTCCGCAAACACCATTTCTATTTGACATAAAAAGCGAAATAACGAAACAAATGCAATTTGTAGCACTTCAGTGAAAGTGTCTTTGTGAAATATATCTTTGCAATTTATCTTAAATGCAAAGTCACGTTTTACCACTCCCTGTGTTTTATGGCCTTACACCAGTGCGCCCTATCAAGAACGAAAATCACGATTGTGCCTCTGTCAGTAAAACAAACATGTTAAGGAGGTCAGTTACTTAAATTTAAGAACACCTCTATATCTTAAGACTTGGGTTTAAAAACATCAGCAGAAATACATCTCGTGTCTTAACTTTTATTAAATAAATCTCGTATTTTAATTTTTGTTAAATAAATCCCGTGTCTTAATTTTTGTTAAATAAATCTTCTCTTAATTTTTGTTAAATAAATCTCGTCTCTTAATTTTTGTTAAATAAATCTCGTCTCTTAATTTTTGTTAAATAAATCTCGTCTCTTAATTTTTTAAGTAAATTGCGTGTCTTATTCTTGGTTTAATATTATTGGTAAATTGTTTTTCGGTTATCATTTTGTTAAGTTACATTTTAAATGTAATTGCCCAAGTATTCTTTGTTGTGTTCGTTTAAAGCATCTTCACAGATAAATTTGAATCCCGAGTCTAGATAAACGAGGTATATTATATACAGACATTATTAAAGGACTGCAGAGTACAACACACTTTATATTTCAGTATGTACTTTATATATTATAACAATGATTTATTGTGGACAGTGTTATGTACGTGTGTAGTTGTACACAGGTGATAGATAAGGATTTGTTGACGAATAATGTGAAAATATAATGTTTAAAGTCACGGCGCTGCTCATCTGCCGTGTTTAAGTGGGTCCATTATTTATCTTTATAAAATAAAGAGTCACTGACACACCCACTAACGATCTACTAATGTCCCCTCCCTCGCACAGCAAATTCTGGATTACGAGATGAAATAACATACTCACCTGAATACAATTTGCATAAATCAAATAGAACTAAGCAAAAAAGAATGTCGACCTATTGTAAAAAAGTGTAATTCACATCGAAAATCAAAAGTGTTTTGATATAAACAGGGGTTTAATTCAAACGGTAGAGTTCGGAAACTGAAGGAAAGAAAGGAATATGGCGACAGATATTTTTGGTTTTAACGTATAAGAAAGACCCGAAACTTTTTGAACAAACCAACATAGAATGCAGTCATACCTACGAGCATCAGGTATAATACACGAGAGACATTTGCACGGACGAATTCTGTCTTTATAGTGTTAATATACTGACAAGAATTATTGATGACGTCGGTCTTATCCCTAATATGGCTATGACTACATACCCCTTTAATACAAATGCTCCAATGATCGCACCTGCGGTCTGCGCCACAGTGTACATCAAAGCCCGAACTGGTGTGATGATGTTTCCCACAGCCATACCAACAGACACAGAAGGATTGAAATGGCCTCCAGACACGTGGCCAAACATCTGGATCATCGCCATGATGGCTAGGCCGAATGCGAATGAAATCTGGAAAAAATACCAAGACGTAAACAGAAGGTTGAATTCTAGTGAATACCACCTTCCAATACAACATCAGAACTGGATACGATAGACAAATAATGAATTAAACTGTATCATGCAACTGTTTTGTTCTTCTAGGACTCGTCATTGATTCTAACGGCCAATATTTTGAATCTAAAAAGGCAACTGAGACGAGCCAATTTGATCGAAAGAAAAGTCAAAACCTTGATTGGGAGGTACACTAGCCCCTCAGTTCAATAAATTTTGTAATTTTCACTCATCTTAAAATTCATATATTATTATTTTATTAACTTTATAATTAAAATTAAGATTTTTCTCTTATGATCTATCTGAGTATAACTTCTTAATTCAGATAATGAACGTTAACATAGCTAATTAGTTCCAGTTTAATTTAATACCGTGTATTTATCGAACATTCAGGGTTTACTAATCCGTACAGAAGAGTGAACAAGATGTTTTTTTAAATCAACACTGCACGCTTAATCATTATAACCTGTTTTTTTTTGTGTCTGAAGAAAAAAATCGATAAATTGTCGATCATCTAGTTAATGACTAACCTACTTTGATCGAGATTTACAAGACATGGCATATTTGTTCTTACCTTGTAACATACACAATACTACGTTTCTGCAAGATCCGGAAAAAATACTCAAATCGGAATGTTCTTTTTTCTATTTCCTGAACAACAAATACTCTCGACCTTTGAATTAAAATATTGTGCCCGTTAGGACGACTATAGGCCACGAAGCGACAAAGACATTTAAATTGCACTCGATTATCCTTACACGAGGGAAAATAATTTTCCAATCAGAGTATCGGCTTAACAGGCCGTAAGAAGTCATGCAGGTATGTTAGTTTTATTAAGCCCTTATTTTCCAATATTTCCTGTCCACAGCAGTTTGAATTTTACTCGCTGAATCATTTAAATCTTGCCTTTCGGATGAAAGTTTTCATCTATGTGGGAAAAACTTCATCGTGGTAAGATATTTCATTAGTAAGAACTGGACGAAAGTCAGTGTGACGATGTCATGTTAATTAATTAATGAAGAGTATTGTCAGCTTGATCAGGTAGGAATTCAATAGATCTATATGATTTCGGTATTTTATTTCCTAATAAGTTGACTGAACTTAAATGATTTTGAAATTCAATGAATGTATCAGTCAACCTAAATGGCAATTGGAGTTAGGGTGGTATGCCCTAAAACATGTTATTAATTTGGTGAAATGTAAATCTAGGCATTTATCAAAAGATTGGCCCATTGATTTTTTCTCAGTGACTGGTTTACTACCTTCGCAGATCTATAAATAAGCCTATTTATCACAGATCTGTACTATTCGTTTTTCTACAAGTCCAGTAATTAATGTAACTGTGCCGCGACTGCACTGAAGACACCTAAGCCTACAGTAATTTTCGTCCTGGTAACAATCTTATGTACTACCTAACACCCAAACAAATACTCCTTGTAAATTTCGTGCAAATTGATAAAGAGCGAAATGGACAATAATTGAGCTTGGCCGAATGACCAAGGTTTACAGCGAGTCATAAGTTTGGTGATATTTAAAGAAAAACTACAAACTGTACATATTGTAAAAAAAAAAATGGTTTCGTATATTTTGAATCATTAAAGGTCAAAATATAGGAAACATTTTAAGGGATACATTTCTTCGTGTGTGATTTCAATATTGTTGATTAAGTCAAACTTAAAGGAGATAAATCGATAAGATACGAGACAGTATTACAGGTTTAAAACGATAACATCGATTGAAAAGGACGCGAATCACATTAGATCTGCACATCATCCATTCACTTAAGGTCAACCTCCGTGTTAAGATGTAGCCCCTGCCCAAGACGGTGGCTCCGAAACTGATATCTACACACGTTTTTAAACATAAACAAATAACAATAAACCCCCTGGGCGATTTGTTGTGACTTCGCGAGCAATTGGTTAATACTGTTTATGATGATGGTTGAAAATTGTGTATCAAATGCGGGTTGGTTTTTGTGAAACCGTTTTATCATTTACAACTGTAGTAAGTACTGTACATATATATATAATTATATATAAACGATATATTTATTGTGTGCAAACAAAAAATCATGCCAAAAAACAATTGAAATTGCATTTAGTTAAGTTTTGGTGATCTGTCAGCAGTAAATGATTAAAAATGTTGACTTTGATTTACTTAATTTCAGCAAGTTTACGAAGTTCCAGGTAATAATCAATCACAACTTGAATGATATTAAAGATTTTGTTTTAATGCTGATAAAACATACATTCTTCCAGATCTAATATCTTCCGTATCTTACGGCAAAACGCCAAGATCTCTTGCAGATGCGATAACAGATTCTCATACGTGTTCTTTAGCAAAGTTTTAATTTGTCCTGATTACGGTACAACAAAAAGTGAAGACATACTCTGTAAATCTAGATATACATTTGTTACACAAGAGTACCGTTTGGAAACAATGTATACGTCCCGTTCACGTCAACGATAAATACACGATAGTATTGTAACGAATGCAAATATTGAAGTGAAATCATTCTGTTATCAAAGGAAACCAGGATTTCATTTCAATGAAATCTATCATGTTTAAACCAAATCAGATCTGGAAAAAAAGGCAAAAAACTCTCAGTAGAGCCAAACAATGAATTTAACTGCATCATTTCGTTCTTCTAGGAGTCGTCAGTGATGTCAAGGGCGTAACTTTTTAAACAAAAATATCGAAAGAGATGTCAACATCTAGATGGGAAGGCACACTGTCACCATAATTAAGTGATTTTTTATAGTTTTGAAATATCTAATAATTTCAAAAAAATGCTATTTACCAGTGTGTATTCTCAACCGTGTCTCTATTCGAATGAATTAAAACGTGGCATTCAGGTTACAGTACACCTCTGGGACTAAAAGTCCACGAGCAGTGTCTTACACCAAGTTATGACATTTCAGTGTGACAGTGATATAAATACTTTCGTCAATGGTTCCATGACTAGTGGACATCGTCATCAAATGCTACTTGCTGTTGTCAGACACGTGTTGTCAAACCAAACGATCAAATATTAAATTAAAAACCGAGTCAGTTTCTTTAACGCTGTTTGTATAATCACTAATGGTATGGCATTCACATTCTAGCTCATAATGACGATGTGTGTTCATCTCCATTCCTTTAATGATTCAAAACATGATTTTTCCTATGTCAGCACGTGCTCCGTGTTTAAACATTCCCATCGTTGAAATGACAAAGATATTCTTTAACTCCCTGGACTTACTCTAAATTTTGAAGAGACGGATTCTTAACAATGGCCTGCAGATACAGGATTTGTGTTATAAATGTAATGAAATTTGGTCTGTAGTGGTTTTAAATTGCTCGTTATTTCACCCTCTTGTAATTGCTTACATTATATCCCGACAAAATTTGATACGTTTGGAAATATGATACAACTCTCAGTTTAGGTCAACTGATAACATTCTGTATATTTCTGATGTGTTGCGCTTTGTTGAATAAAATGTATTATTATGCATGACGTATGGTATGTGAAATGCCGTTCCGTCGTTAAGCTTGGTTTTTATTTCTTTTTTTTGCATTACATCAGCAGAATTGTTCTGACTTGAGAGAATGGTGGTTTTCCCCAGCTAAAACTTTTGACGTGTCATGGTGATATCAAATTCAGTTGTACATTTTAGAATTATAATCTTTATTTTGTATAGAAACTACCGCATGGTCTCTTGTTCATAAGATGCATTGTATAGATTCCCAATAATCAAATGAAGATAATTATCGTTTAACTAACCTTAAGACATCAGACTCGCGTGTAATGTTTAAAGAGCGCGCCAAACAAAACCTTCATACTTTCTCTGTGATAAGAACCAACCAATTTTGAGTTAGAAATCCGAAATATTGAGTTAGGAGTTGGACTTACTAACTTAAATTTTCGGATTACCAACTCGAAAGTTCGAGTTGCTATCTCGAAATTTCGGTTTAATATCTCAAAATTTCGGATAAGTAACTCGAAATTTCGAGATAAAATAAAACACAACGTAGCCGGAATACGCTTCCGTAAATAAGTCATGGTGCTTTCTCGAAATTTATTCCACCCGCTGGAAAAGTTTACAATAATCATTATTTACTACAATTGTGTGACGGCTATTTCGGCGTGGTATTGTAAATTATAGTTAACAGTTAACTCAAACACCTGCACATGTATATAATTAGCTTGTCATGCCCAGAGCCAAGTCAATAACCAGGTTCTACTGGTGAAATATACAACTTATACTTAGTAAACGATAACAGATTGGTTGTTTATCAAATGTGGAGACAGCAGGTGTACGCAGAGCTTGGGAAACTTGTAAATCGTATTGATTTGAATAAACGAGGGATATTGGAGATAAAAGGAATATTAATTATGGTAAAGTCGTACGGAGCGTGCGCAATATTATCTGGTAGGCCTGTTTACAATCTATTTCATAGTTGAAAAAACAAAAACAACGAAAATAATCGAGGCGAGATATTGTAAATAACTACACATTCCAGGGGTTCCAGCATAGCACAAAACATACTGCGACTTTGACATTGTCAAAATTGTTTGACACTTATCATGTGGTTTTTTTTCACTTTTTATACACATACACGCTCGTTATCTAATCCAACATTTCATTTGTTTTGTTATCTAATCCGTAACGTGAAAAACTTAATTGAGTTCGTCGATTAGTTTCGAAAGGACGAAATTTTCGTTTAAAACAGATTCTTGTCTGTGGAAATGTTAAATATGTCGTGAAAAAAAAAGACAAAAAATAAATACAAAACACAAAAAACAACTAAACAAAACAACTAAGAAAACAGGAAGTTAGAATGACTTTATCACACTTCTCGGTAAGATAAAAAAAAATGACGCATCGGCTGTTTGATGAGTTACAATAGATCTTCTTTCATTACTCACGGAATGTCATGTTTTGCCAAGTAATACATTAATCTGTGCAATGTTTTTA